GGTGGAACTGCCCCTGTGGGTTTCTGAGAGGGTCACTCTGGACAGGAGTAGGGAGCCTCATCATGGTTTCCAACTGCTCACCTTGCAGTTAGCAGGCCAAAGCCTAATCGCTACGGCACAGGGCTCCTTCCAGTCCAGGTAAAACTGCAGGCTCAGGGAGGGAGGGGAATTGCTTGCTACACAGACAATAACCACACTAAAATTGTCCTCGGTGCTCGTAACGTTGGCCAGATTCCAAAAGTGGTTCACCGAGCAAGTCATTAGAATGCAGACAAAAGCCGCCGAGTGTTTGGCGAACAGGAGCAAAGTCACACACCCACCCACACACACCCCAAGCTCCATGTAACATAAAGAGAAGTCCTGGCAGCTGAACACGGAGTATTTCATCATCTCCAAAGCGCTCGGCCCTGTCGAAAATTTGTTTGAAGGATTCATTGCGACATTTGTGTGTACAGAGTAGCAAATCCTAAGGGCTCATTTGCAAATAAAATAAAATTTGAAAAATAATGTTTCCATTTCTCTGGGCAGTTTGGGGTCAGGAAGTTATTTATGTGAATTTACGATGCCGCTTGGTCCTGCCACTTCTCAAGTTGCCTTGGCATCCTTTCAATTTATCAGCGTGGCCTCTATGGTTATAAATCTGTTTACCCAGTTTATATTCAAATGCATTAGGGTGTATATGAAACACGCCGCCCAGGTTAGAAGTGTACCGCGCAGGGGGAGCCCAAGAGAGAACAAAAGAAAGTGAACGTAAAAACCTGCCCAGAACCGGCTCCGTTCAGAAAGAAACGGGACTCAAGAGATTCACTCTGAGAAATCGGAATTGACTTGGCCGATCCAAATTCCATGAAGTGGCAGCGATTGGAAGAAACCCTAAATGTCCCTCTTCCTTTACATGGTGAGAGGTGGTTCATATCGTCTTTAGCAGACTGACCAACATGCCCCATGCCCAAATGGACACGATTAAACCACCAGTAATCTGTTAAGAGTGATCACCGCAAGCCCACCGGCACCATTTGCGAGAAAGCGCAAACAGAGTGAGACTTCACACTGGTCACACCCTGTCCTTGCTTGTCTTCTAGGACTCCAGTGCCTGCCTTCCTCACCAGGGGAGGGTGCAGCAGGGTGTCGACAGCCCCGGGGTGACGCTGTCCCAGCGGGAGTACCAAAATGATGAGCTATAAAATTGTGCCGCTGTGTCTCAGCAGGATTTGTTATTGTTATTATTATTAAAACATCCTAACAGTGAGTCCTAACAACAAAAACACTTTTCGCAAGCACAGCCCGCATGGATCGCAGACCTCCACGGCCAAAACTCCCTGCTAATTTCCTTTTGAGACCTTGCCAAGGGCACCAGTCTGGGCTGTCAGTAATACTCATTTACAGTGACACGTCCATGGTTTGGGCCACACACTCTGTTGCTGCCAGGACTGGCTTTGTCACACGGCCTGGGGCTCGAGCCGTAATGTCATGGGACTCGGTGTCTATGGACCGACAGTGAGGTTGAGAATGAACAAGCAGCTAAAGGGCAAGCAGGAAAGCTAAACACGGCTCACCGGTATGTTCAGTCACTGCTAACGGTGTCACGTACAATGTTTGATGCGATCGGACAAAGAAAGGTAGGACACGGCACTGGATCAAAACCAAACTCTGCCATCTGGTCAACACTGCCTCACCGTGAATGCCCCTCCCACCCCACGCCCGTGGGTGTCTGAGACTGCAACTGTTTACAGGAGCAGAAAGCCGGGCCTTTCTCCCGTGGAGCTGCTGGTGGTCTCACACTGCCGCGCATGCGATCACAGCCCAACATAAACGCACTGTAGCCCACCAGGGCTCCTGTGTGTAGATCACATATGATTCTGTGATTCCAGTGGAGAGTCAGGAAGCAGGGCAGTCTGGTGAGGGATGGGAGGAGGTCCCCAGCGGTAGGGGGGATACCTGGGGTCACCACGCTGCACCCAGTGCAGTGACATCACTTGTCTGACTCTAAGCCTTTTTTCCCCTGACTCTCCGACCTCAACCCTCACACAGACTCCGGTGAAGTGTGGCCTCCTATCTGGCAGCGAGAAACCCCAGAGAAGG